TCCAGAGGGACCCGAGTTCAATTCCCAGCACCCACATGGCAACTTACAACTGTCTGTAATTCCTGTTCCAGGGGATCCAACATCTCACACAGACACACATGCAGACAAAAATACCAATGTACATAAAATACAAATAAATAAATTAAAAAAAAAGTAGAATGTTTAACACAACACTTTTATGAGATAAAAAATTCTATACTTCTTTGCTGTCTTATCCTCAACAAGTATTTGAACATTGAATTAAATAAAATTATTTTATCTAAATTAAGTTTTAGTTTTCTTTCTTAAAGTAAGAGTTCTAAGGTAGCCTCTGAAGTCATCAGAAACAAGCATTGGTTGAGTGACCTTTCTATTGCAATAGTTTCTACTTTGGCTTTATTTTAGAATGCTGGTTACCTTTTCATTATCCTAGATCACATCTGAGACCAATTAAATTCAGTTCTCCCAAGTGGGACCTATGGCAAAACTCCCCCTAAGAATTCTGTAAGCCTCAAAGTTACAACCTTTATGCTGACTTATATTTCCTAAACAGTACTTTGTTGTTTAAGATAATGGAATACTGTGCTCCCAGAGAGAGGAACTTGTTTTTAGCACTTGGATACAAGTTGAATCACCTTTTTCTGCGAAATAATTTAGGAGGGAATCCCTTGCCATATACACAGGCATATTCAGTGTTAATCTCTTGCCTTATTCTCTTGACCCCAGGATTAAGGCACACATTCTCTTATTTGCTGTATGTGGTTTTTGATTTTGATTTGTGTTTATAATTTTGTGTAGGAGCTGATCTTCTGCAGGGACAATGTGTGTCATGGGGAGGTGAGCCCTCTGGGAGACTGTGCCTTTGGCAGTGTTTAGCAACACTCTGATCATCATGTGTGCTGCGTACTGGCTTCTGCTTGGGGATTCTTAGGAAAGAATGCCTAGTAGGCATTTCGCCTGCACTTCTGGTATGCAGAGACCTCGAGTTTGCATTTCTCACAGTGTGTGGGTACTCATGGCTCTACAGACATGCCTGGGGCTCTCCACATTTCTCTGCCATGGGTGAATTTTCTCAGAGCCCCTGAATGAAACAGATACTAAGTATGGCTACTGCCCCTATAGACATTTACTCAGCTTAACTCTTCCCCTCACGGGTGCCCCAGCTCCAATCACAGCTCCTTCCTCTGTCTGGGTCTTTGCTCAGAGCTGCTCTGGAGTCAGTTTGAACTGTTTAACCTTCCAGTGGTCCCCCCACCCAGTCCCCAAGGTTTAAATTTTCTTTCAATCATGGCTCCTAGTTGGGGAGCATTTTCAGCTTTTCTGTCTCTGTTCATTGTGGGTAAAGGGGACTCCTGTTGGTTTGGATCTGCCCACTTGCCCGGAGATTCCCTCAGGCTTTTCATGCTTCCAACAGATCATGTGACCCAGCCACAGGTCTCTGAGATTGCCTGAAAATATATCAGTTCTTCATTTGTACAATTCCTGAGTGAAAAAAAAAAGGTCATCAGGGCTCAGGGAGAGAATTGTCTGTATCCACTCACCCCAAAACTGTTTAAAGAAGGGCTGGAGGGCTGACCAGATGGCTTAGTGAGCTAGTATGAAGACTTGAGGTCCGAGCTCCAGCACCTATCTAAAAGCCAGGTGTGGTGTATGCACCTGTAACTGCAGTGCTGAATGTGGGGTGGGGGGTGAGTAGAGGGGCAGTTGGATGCCAGAGCTCACTGGCCAGTCAGGCTGAAGTGATGAGCACAAAAAGTGATGTGAAGACATATGGGCACACCTGCATACATGTATGTATACATACACACATACACTATGCCTCCCCCCCCCCCAAATCTCTTGTGCTGGCAGTGCATAATATCCAGTATGGATTTAGCGTGTTTAAATCTGTCTAAATGCCAGGTTGCAATCTCTTACCTCTAAAAGTCATTGCCAACATTTAAAAATTATTCTATCTTTGTATATATGTTTAAACATCCATGCATAGTAATTATAGTTTCTTTAGAATTTTTTTTTTATTATCTCTTATGTGTTACCATGTTCTCCTGTATGTACCTCTGTGTACCATATACATGCTGTGCCCAGGGAGGTCAGAAGAGGGCATCAGATTCCCTGGGACTGGAGTTATATAGATGCTTGTGGGGTGAGTTGAGTGTTGGGGATTGAACCAGGTCCACTGGGAGAGCAGCCAGTACTTTTAACACTGAGCCATCTCTTCACCCATTTAGTTATATATTTTACAAATTAGTATATAGCCTTATATTTCTGGTTCTTTGGACAATCATTTCATATATATATACATATATATACCTATATGAATTATACTTTTGAATATTCTGAATTAATTTAAATACTCACCTAGTTGATGGTATTTACCCCCATATTTCCAGAATTAGCACACTATTGAGATCATTATTGTGTGTTTATCTTTAAAGAACATCTGGTTGTATTTCCTCAGGTTAGATTTGTAAAATTAGAATTACTAGTTAAAAAGTATGAACATTTTTACAGTATCTTGCCAAACTGCTTATGCAAAGAATTGGGCCAATTTTTTATGTCTCTTAACAGGCTCTGAGTATTCTCAGTGTGTGCTTGTCAACATTGATCATTGCATTTTCAACTTCAATCATTTTAGCAGTGAGCAACTGAACTCCCATTTTTTAAATGTTCCATGAACTATTCAGAAAACATTTTATTTCTATATTTTAATTTTCTCTTTGCGTTTTTGTAGATGTCACAGAGTTAGCTGTGTAAAATCCAATGACTGTTTTGTGTGTGAGAAGTGAACTGGGACTTTTTCTTAAAAACTGATTCGTATGGTGTCTCTGTATGAAGGATCTATTAATGTTTTATTATAATCATTGTAAAGTAGTGTTTTCAGACTTGTTCTTTATGTAGCAAAAGTTAATTATATAGTAAGTGTGCAGTGTTTTGTTATATTTTGCTCAGTCACTCTTGTGCCTATCAGATCTTAATCTAACCCAATTTTCATCTACTCCTTTATACTCTTATATTTTAATATTTATAAACAATACTCATCTCTCTAGGGTTTATTTTTGTGTGTGGTATTAAATACACAACAGCCTCATTATCATGTAAAGTTAGCAAAACACCTCTGTATTTTCCATCTCTTCCAGCTCAACTCAATGTATCCTTCACCTGTATGAAACACTCTGCAGTTAGACTGTGTGGCACGCAGATGGCTCCCTGCGTAAAAGCTCTTGCTCTGCAAGCCCAATGTCCTGAGCTCAATTCCAGGAACCCACAGTGGAAGGAGAAAACCAGCACACCAAAATTATCCTGACTGCTATACTCATATGTGTGTCCATGTGCACGTGCATACACACACACACACACACACACATACGATTTAAAAGCAGGAAAGGGTTATACATTCAGAACGCAGAGGAATGATTGCTGAGCAATTGTGTGGAGATTGGAGGGCTTGCTGAGCTTCTAGTCGTTTTCTTCCCTGAGGTTTGGCTTGCACAATTCCCAATCAGCTCTAAATTGGATGTGTAGGAGCCAGAGAGGGCTGAGCACACACCAGAGCATGGATACTTGTACTGTTTCCTAGCTCCCCAGAGCCTGACTTGTTTGTGAATTGTGACCTACGATTCCCTCTGTCATACATTTTCAGAAGGCAAACTGGCAATCAAATTCTGTGGTAATTGTTTCCTTCTGTGTGGATTTTTCCTTCCCAAACTGCTTGGCAAGGACATGGTGGCTTCTAAAAGTATAAAGGGGACCAGGAGTTAGATGTCAGACCCATAGTGGCCCATCAGCTTCCATTTTCCAGGGTAGTCCTAACTTTAGGTAGCTTACCTTATTGGCTTTTTACAATCCAAGTGCCCTAAAACAGTTCATACTTTAAACTACATTTTACGAAGTATTTCTTACAGCTGAAAATCCAGAATTCCTTTGTGAGACTCTGTGAGGTCAGTTTGGTCTTTTCTGTAGCTGAATGATAGGGTGTAGAAAGACACAAACAGCCCTCCCTATTTTAGACATACTAAATTAGAAGGAACTGACCCAGCATCCCAGATCTCTGAGGAAATCCAGGCACTTATTTCTGTCTCTCTAGCTATCTACTTGAGTATGTGTGCAGTCATTTGAATAAGTTACATTTCAGCATCTAGTGGGTGTTGGGAACTCAGCTATGCCTGGTGTAGACTCTGTTCTCAGCGTCCATGCAGTCTGTTACAGGGAGATGGGCTGTGGATATGCGTAGGAACTAATACAGTTTTAATACAGCAGTGTCCCAATCAGAGCTTCCAGAAAGATTCTGTTTTGCTATACTCCATCACCAGAATGAGTATAGTAATCCTTGTCCATAACTGTGCTCAACTAAATCCAATCAACTCTGTTTGTTTCTTTATAATTTCATAGTTGTGTGGTGTGTTCATAGGGACGGCTCGTGTTATGTCATCTGGAATGGCTTCATTCACAAGTCTGCTACCATAGAGAGATGGCTGCTGGCAGTTGGGGCTGTCTTCTCTGCAGGGCAGGCGGCCTTTGTTATAAGGTGATTGGCATGGGAGAGGAAAAGCAGGAGCTGTCAATCCTCTTAAGCCCCAGACCCAGCATTAGCACAGTGACTTCCATAGTGTTCTAGTAATATCAGTGACCAGGCCATGGCAGGGAGAGGAATACCCATAAGTGACTGGGAGGAGCTTGGAGTGGCCATTGGTGCAGTCAACATTGACTTAAAACCAATATATTATAAATGGTGAAGAATTGGGTCTCATTTATTTTGGGCACTGGTGAGAGCTGACTGTGTTTTATCAGGTATCTTCATGTGCAAGCTTTGTATGTCAGGTTTAGTGGGCTGTACCCACATGATGGGTCTCTCTTTTACCATTCCAGCTAAGAGTAAAGATGCTGCTGCTGTGTTTCCATGGTGAAACAGGAGTGATCCTCCAGCCCTTCTCCTCCACTTCTCACTGTCTTTGCTCTTGATCAGTTCACGGATGGTGACATCCACTCTTCTTACCAAGGTCTCTTCCTCTTTTTTGTTTCAGGCACTAAAACAGTCACAGATATTAGTGATGGCAACTGTGAGTCTGGCCTATCTCCTCCATCCTCCTGCATGAACTCCATATCAGTGCTCCATCTCATTGAGGACCTGAGACTGGCGCTGGAGATGTTGGCCCTTCCTCAGGAGAGAGAAGCCCTCCTGAGCCAGATCCCTGGCCCAACGGCTTCCTACATAAAGGAATGGTTTGAGGACAGCTTGGTAAGTGTGAGTCCGTGGCCAGATAAAGGAATTGTGGGATATATAATTAGCAATGGAATGTATCCAGCTGCTTTTCCAGAGAGATGGGCAGGCCATCCTGTGGAGAATTTATAATATCTGGAAGTAGGTAAGCTAAGGTGCTAGCTCATTGAAGTCAACTGGGATGTAGCCATTGGAAAGGGCTGAGGCACAGACTTTTAATGCTAGAGCCCTGTAGAACTGATCAGAATTGGAAAACATGTGCAAGGCTGGGAGGTAAAGGTTGATCTTGGAAGTTGAGACATTCTTATCCATAAATCATTTCATTTATGGTTAACCAGCCTCCATCCCAGATGTCCTACCTCCTTTCTGTTCTAGAGGGATCTGTCAGTGCCTCTCACCCCATGCTCTCCTCAACACTGAGCAGTTCCTCATTATCATCCATTATTTGTGTTGTTCAATATTCTCAACTGTCTCAAGTTGTCTGCCTGGTACCTGTGTCATGTACCTGTAGTAGGCAGCATAATGGTCTCCCAAAGATGCCTATGCAACAATGGCCAGAACCTGTGAATATGTTTATGACCTTAAAGGTGAAGGGGAAGTAAGAACAGTTTCAAATAAATAACCTTAAAAATAGGGAGCCCAGCTTGGGCTGTTCAGGTAGGCCCAGTGTAATCATAGGAGTTCTTATAAATACATCTGTTCTGTCCTCTGAATTCTTTTATGAGTCTCCAGGGCCTGATTTTTGCTGGCTCCCTTTTTGCTTTGTCTAGAACCTTCCATCACATAGCCAGGAGAGTGATTGACAGTTCTTTCTGAATGGGAGTCTTGTCTCCGTAGTTCAGCAGTCTGTCTTTCTTCTTCACTGTGCAGTTTACGATGAACAGAGGTGCCCCTTGGCCATCTTATGTGACTGTACTGTCATTTATGTGACAGCCTTTCTAATATTGACCATATCACCATATGAGAAAGCATTGCTGAGTAACTAAACATTTCTGCCTCTAGAATTTTCTAGCAATATAATTGCAGAGATCAACTAGGGTCATCATTTAAAATATAGACTATCTAGTGAAATTTGACTTTAAATAAGCAGTGAATAATGATGATCAGGTGTGTCCTGAGCAGTTGGCTAAACCTGGTAACCATAATTCAAGAATGTTAATAATTTTAAGCCTTTGACACATTTTTGTAAATATCTTTTCAGAAGAATTTTATTTTCTTTATTTTCTCTGGCCAAGATTAAAGAAAGCCTATTCCAGGTTATCCTAAGATCAGAAATAATCACCAATATTAAAATATGGCTTTAGCAGTTTCACAAGGGAAAATTTTTACTGTTGTTTTTGTACACTTCTTTCTTTAGTGAGAAGGCTAAACTTTTTATTAGGTTATTAGTATTTTCTATAGTTTCTAAACTTTTAATCTCATACCCTGCATGAAAAAAATCTACATATACATGATCACATGAATTATTTTACTAATGTCCAAGTAAGGTGTTCAAATGTAGAATTTGAAAGAATGAGCTTGAAAGTAGTTCTAAATTTTCTTCCCACACAACCTTGCTGTCTCCTTAACCCCTTGGGCAGGGCTGTTCTGCCCCGTGTTTATATCTTACTTTCATTTTCTGTAGGTGTGTTTGTGTTACCTTATTTTATTTCTTTTGGACATATATTTTCTTAAGTATCATGCTTTTCAAACCACGGGGTTTTAGAAGATTTTAGTTGACTCTCTCATTCGTAACTGTTTGGGTCTCTTCTCTTCCTTGCAGCCCTACAAAGGCCTGACTTAACCTCACTTCAAGTAACCAGGCATCCCTTTCCCTCCAGGAGGTTCATGGTTTGACTTTTTTATCTGACAGTTCACTCTAATTCATCAGTTTTTAATGTGTGGCATGAAAAAAGTTGATCTAACTTTTAAAATATTTTGGGGAAGTACATTAAAAATAATTTTTTTTCTGAATGCAGCTGATGTGTTCCTTGGAGAAATAGCATGTGTTTTCAGATTTGCACAGTTTTTAGGGGCTGATCATTTACAGTGATTGCGGAATCCACTGTTTAAGACAGATTTCCCTAAAAGCTATTGTGTTCATAAATCTTCTAGAGTAATTATGCCCATTAGCCACATATGAATGGTGTACTTTTCAGGGGTCAGAAGTTCACATAAACATTCCCAGAAACTAGAGCTGCATGTTAAGGGTTTGATTCTGAGCAGAAATGACCTGTCTGTTTTCAGATCTGACTGACCTAAAGTCAGTTTACACTCTGGCTCTATACACATTCCAAACTCAGTCTTCCTTGCACAGCCCCCAAATTCAGAGCAGTGGGCAGTTCCCCAAGTGCTTTAGAGTGCTCTTTCTGCTGGAAAACTTGCTATACAAATTTTGGTCTCACAGATATTGGTCTATTTGGCTAGGAGCTTGTGAAAAACGTTAGCTTTAGATCAGGCACTAAACTATCTTAAAGTGATTCGTTAAAGTTTAAAAAGCATTGCTTTAATCACTGAGACTCCTTTTTGTTTAGACAGGCTCTGTATAACCCTCGCTGGCCTGGAACTTGTGATATAGGCCATACTGGCATTGAACTCATACAAGTATGCCTGCTCTGCCTCCTGAAAACTGGGACTAAAGGTGTGTGCCATCACACCCAGGTTGTGTGTGTGTGTGTATCTGTGTGTGGTGTATTTAAGACTCTTAGGTAGGTTAGAATGGGAGTTGGAATGAGAGAGGTAGTTTGAGGGACAAGGCAAGACTGACGTGTGCCTCCTGCTCAACACAGGCTGCGCATCGTGTGTGTGTGTGTGTGTGTGTGTGTGTGTGTGTGTGTGTGTGTTAGCACGTTCTCTCCTGCAGAGAGTCACGATTGTCACGTACCTCAGAGCTCCTATTTTGTTGGAACATTAACCTGACATGGTTGATCTCTGCCTGATAACATCACTATCTTTTGTACTTTCTCCAACAAAGCAGTGTCAACAGTAGGGTTTAGATCACTAGAAAAGTGTAGAGAGGCTGGACCTCCCCCTTGGAAATCATTGGCCAAAAATGACTTCAAAGGCTCTGGCTCCTCCCATCTTCCTGTCCCAGCATCCCTCAAGGCTGGATTTTCCTTTTCTGTATCCTCTATCCATGGCTGATGGAGCTCGGGCACCATATGATCACGTACACACAGCTATACAGCTCTGTTCAGAGTTGATCGCTTTCTTCTGGACAATATGTCTATTCCTTATTTTTGATTAAGGGAAGAGATGTTTATCGGAATCTCTCCAGCAGATTTCCCATTGGTCCAGTGGCCAACATGCTACTGAAGCATCAGGGGAAGCTGAGTAGGAATAATAGGGCATTAGACCAAGAGCAAATTGGGTAGTCTCCATCAAGAAATCCAAAGGTTTCAATTGTGTAACATTTTTGATTCAGGGTTTTTGAAATTTATTTCTCTTTTCTTGATTAGGGATTCTTAGCCAGTAAATTCTGTGTAAATAATAATAAAATTCCCCTTTAAAAAAGCAAAATCACAAACAACTAAATACTGCCAGTCCCAAGCATTTCAGATAAGAGAAATTCACCCTCCATTGACTTCATTTTGTTATAATAAGTAGTCCAAGGTGAGCTGAGGCCTGGCTTGCAGGGATGGATGCTGTCAGAAAGGAAAAGAGTGAAAGAAAGAATGGCCCCTAGACAGACATCCCAAAATGTCTGTGGCAAGTAACATGCACACTCGCATGCACGCACACACATGCACGTACGTACATACATCTGTACAAATGTTTACTCTTCTAATTAACCAACAAGTCTTTCCTGTCTTTCCTTTTTATATTTTATTTTTGATACAGGTTCTTATGATGGATGTGTACCACTACACCTAGTTTTAGGTGATGCTGGGTATTGGATCCAGGACCTGGTACATACTAGCAAGCACTTCACCAACTGAGCTATATCCCCAGCACCTCCCTCCATTAAAACTACCAAACAAAACCTCAAATCCCCAAAGAATCTCACTGACTTGCTAACTAACTTTGGGGCTATGTCCTCTAGGGACATAAAAATACTAAGTGCCAATGAAATAGAGATGTAAAAGTTAAAGCAGTTATATCTATTTGTGAGTGCGTGTGGACATGTTTATGTGTGAGAGTGTGTGTGTTCCGTCGCATGTATGTGGAGGTCAGGGAGCAACCTTGAGTGCTGGTTTTCACCGTCTGTCTTGTTCGTAAGATAGGACCTTTCTTGGTTGTCACTGACTGGATACCCCAGGATTTTCTCCCATGAGCTAACAAGGAATTCTCCTTTTCTTCTGCCTCCCCACCTCTCCTTAGGTGTGCTGTGATTATAGGTGCACACTGCATCTGGCCTTTCTATGGATTCTGGGAGTCTGACCTCAGGTCATCAGGTTTGCACCAAAAGTGCCCTGGTCCAAATGTTAAACATCAACAGAGCTGTAGATTAGCTATTGTTGTGTCAAATGACCCTTGCTAAGAATCAGTGAACTCTGGCCAGAGAGGAAGGGCTGTGGTCCCTACTGCTGTTCTTCGGGGTTGTTAGTCTCCGGACACCATCGGATCCCTAAGTTAAAGGGACTTGCTAGAGTGCAGAGTTGGGAGTGAGGGAATGACTGCTGGTTAAGAGGAGGACTAATGGACTGGAACTAGGCCTGCCTTTCCTTTATGTCTTAGATGGAGAGGGCATTCCTGCTCCTGCTGTATCAGAGTGGGCAGCTGGGTGTGTTTGAGTGTAGGACTTGTTCTCTGCTGGGTCTCGGGCAGAGCTGAGGCACAGCTGTAGCAACATGGTCCGCAGAAAGCTTGCTGGCCAGACTCTGCCAGCATTACCTCCAAGAGCAACAGATCTGCCCAAGATTAATCAGTGCTGAGCTGTAAGTTTCTAGAGCTCTGTCCTAGACCTTGGCAATGAGTGGGCTGGCAAGTGGGCTCCAGGCCTGGAAGGGCATGTGCAGAGCTCTCTGACTGGGATTTGTCTCTGGGGTTTCAGTGAAACAAGGAGCAAGAGGTTTGGGTTTCCTTGAAGTCCATATCTG